CTGTGTCTGAAAAGAGCTGGACACCTTTGGACAGACCTCCTGGGGTTAAAATTAAGCTTGCTCTGTTCCAAGATCTTGTTACTTTGAGACAATGCTTCTGCATTTTTGTACCCCTCTTCCCCCTCTTTTTTTTTTTTTTCTCTTTCGGACAAATAGTTATGTGGCGTGAGGCTTGTTAGAGTTGGAAACAGCCCCAAGTAAACAGCTGAGCTTAAAAATACTCCTTTTTTTTGTCTGGCCTTTAGAAAAAAATAGTAGTTATTGCACAAAAGAAGACTATGCTGATGCCAATCACTGCGTTCCAGCTGAAAACAGGAAGCTGCCCCGAGTGTCTGTCCCCAGCACTTTGACTATGCGGCTCGGACATTCAAAGCCTCAAGGAGGATGTGCCCTGTGCTATGAATTGGATCCCTTGATCTCTTTTTTTTTCCTTTTTAATGAGGTGGAAGGCTGCCTATGACAGATAAGTGTGTATCCTGCAGGTCTGCTTCCTGATCTGTACCAGAATTCATTCATTTTGCTGGGGATTTTCCAGCCTCACTTCAAACAGGTAACTGTGATGGGGAGATACCTGCTCATCCAGACCTGGGCTGGCAGGTGCCTGCAAGCGCTGCCTAAACCCTCTGCCTTACCTTGTGCACCCTTTTATCTCTAAACCCTACATGAGGGGATTGTATTTCAATCCAAAATCTGCCTTTTGCACTGTGTTCAAGCAGCTGAAGAAGTAAGGAGACGCGGAGTTCACACAATGCACGGGAGCCCTAAGATCTTGCAGCCCAATGCAGTAGTGAGCAGGCCAAGTCTTGCTAGTCTGTCTTCCCAACAAATCCCCCTCTCTGGGTTGGTGTCTGCCATGGAGCATTCAGGGATTCCCAGATGTTGCTGATCAGGAGACTGCCTTTTCCCCAAACAAGAGCAACTTTGGTTTGGCCCCAACATTTTTGTGCCTTCAGTGAGAACGCTGTCAGGGAAAAGGAGCTCAGGCTGCCTGAATGAATATGCGTTCCCCAAGTTCAGCTCAGGATCCTTTAGCATCTGTTGTCAATCCCCAGAGGTGCTGTCTCTTGCCAGGTGCTGTGCCTGCAGACATTTTGCTGTTCTAGATTTAAGCTGGATTTCCAGGCAACTGCTTTGTAATTTTTTGAAGTCATTTTTTTCCTTGAGGACAAATCGGATTTCCTTCATGTTCCCTTCCTCCATATCTCCTTCAAATCAGATTCAACTTTGAAGTGAGAAGTCCGCGGTGTTGATGAACCAAGTCCGTGATGCAGGCCATATGTGACCACTACAGCACTGTGACCTTCAAAAGGTCTTGGGAGCTTGTAGGTCTCTATGGAAGCAAAAGTTAGCTCATATTACCCAGGACCTGGATGCTTTTCATGTCACAGTAGTTGAGAATAGAACATAAAAGGCATTTTGCACCATGATGGAAATAAAGATGTTAGCTACTGCTTCCTAGAAAAACACCACTCCTGACACTGCCCTCCCTGGCTTTGATCCTGTAGGACTCTGCGGATTTAACTGAGCTGTCTTCACACCACTGTGGAAAGGGAAGAAGCCTGTTAGCTTTTATTTTGTGAGGGCAATCGTAGGAAGAAACAATCTGGTCGCTCTTTACTTTATGAAAATGTGAAGCCCAACATCTAACCTACCGAGCATCCAAGACCACAGTAAGAGTCAGGAGTAGGAGCTGGTGCTCAGCACCTGTGGAAGGAAGAGCGTCTGCTTTTTGGCAGCCCACCTGGTGATGCACCACCTTTGGCTGTCGTAGATTGATGCCTTCATCAGTGCTCTCATGATTTAAAGAAGTCCCCCTCTTTGCTGTCACTCAGGTGTAGAGCCTCATGGGCAGGCAAGACCTGCTCTTCTCACCAACGCTCCCCTCAAAGCATGACAGTGCGTGCTACAGGATGGTGTGTCAATAGTAGGACTTACTATTTCTTTCCTTTCTTTTTCTTTTCTTAAATGAAAACCAGGGTTGTAAAGCCACTTTCGCCATCATTTTTCAAAGCACATAAAAGCAAGCGGGTACCTGATCTCTCAGCTCTTATGTCATCCAGCCCCATGCTGTGGTGGAGAGCAGGGTGCAGCCACTCTCCAGGACCAGCACAGCCGAAGGGCTCATGACAGTGCAGTTCAGTAAGACTTGGTTAATCATTTAGGCAGTCTCCATTTAATTCAGACATCCCAACCTCTCCATTCGGTTCCTCCCTTGGGTTTTGCAGACTCCAAGCAGACAGATTTATTGGGGTCTTAAGCATAATCAGGAACAAATTAGCCTCTGTTAGGATCACACGCTGGCCTGGATCACAGCTATTCAAAGGCTGCCTTCCCATCCATGTGAGTATGAATTAAGTCATCGGGTTGGAGTAGGTCTTGAGTATTCTTTTAACCCAAACACATGATCTTATCAGAAGCCCATTACATTTATCATCGCATTAGGAGGGAACATTTGGAGCCAGTGCAGGAGTATGTTGCTATATAAACGTTGTGCGTGCTTCAGTGCCTGTCATGAAAAGAAGTCAGTGCTTCAGGAAGGCCAGGGAAACGCTGTCTAAATGCCTAAAATGAGGCTGTGAGTTTCTGGGGATGTGTTTGCATCAGTAGGGTGGCTGCTCTGGGGATGTGTAAAGAGAGCGTCTATGTGTTTGTGTGTCAGTGCTTCTGTCAGTGTGGGTGTGTAGCAGGGTGCTCTTGGGTGCTGGTATTTCACTGTAAGTGTATATGTGACTGTGCATATGTCAACAGGCTGAATGTTGGGTCTTTTTAATAGGGTGTGTGTTTTCCTTTCTTTTCTTTTGCTTTTTACAGAAATAAGCCTCTTTTCCTAAAATGACAAAGAAACCCTTTAAAAAAAAAAAATCCATGTTTTCATATGTTTGGGATTTGTTTCTGAGGATTTTTGATTGCTGACCACAGGCTTTCCAGAGCTGAATGTTTCTCAGGGATTTCTGCTGAGACTCTCACTCAAACTGGGACATAGTGCTCCAAGGCGGGCAAGCTGCTTAGCTTTTATCCTGCTGTTCTTGGGTACAGCAGAGACCTGGCCTACGCTTTGCTATTGCTCTGCAGAGAAAGGAGCAGAACAAGAAATGCAGAAGGATAAGGTGAAGGGAACCAAGGCTTTGCCTCCATGGCCATCACAATGTGAATGAGCCACACTTGTGCAGCACTGTGCCAGCACTGATAAGCCCTACAGAGAAACAAGGTATGTCACAGGGATGTCCAAACTGTGGCTCCCAGGGCACGTATCGTTCATGACCAGTTCAAGTTCACATTCCCAGCTGGGTCAATATCAGATGAGGACTAGCATGGCCCTGCTGGCATCAGTGCTGTTGGGCGATAGGCCCTGGGAAAAGCAAGGCAGTGGCTGCTGGGGCCAGCACTGCTGGGTTGCCTTAGGGCCCATCTGCACATCCACGGAGCCCCTTCCCACCATGGAGCAATGGGACACCCCGGGGAGCCATTGTCATCTCTTCCCTGTGAAGCACTCTCCCAAGCCTCCTCCTCCCAGCCATTCGAGGTGTGTGGTATATGTTCAGTGGCTCCCAGCCATATGAAGATTTTAAGACGTGACATGTAGGGTCAAGGAGTTTGGCCACCCCATCTCAGGCGCAGGGCTGCACTCATACAGCTGAACAGCTTCCAGGTTCCTGCTGGCTCCTTTTCACCAGCTCACAGCGCTGGCCCAGCAAACACACAGCTCCCAACACTTACCCACGTACACGAGTTGTCCGCAGAGGTCATGATGAAACGAAACCATAATGATTGACTTCTCCATTCTTTCAAACTCACACTCTCAGAAGGACCTGGAATTTTTCACGGGGGATTGGGAGGAAGGGAGGGGAAAAGGAGTGAAAGTCATTAAATAATTGAATTGCAATAAACTGATTTTTTCTGGCTCATGGTGGTATTTCACTGTGTAAACTAGGAGGAAAAATAAACAGGGGATTTAGTAGTTTGGAAGTAGCTCAAAATTGAGCAGCCGTTGGATTCTCTGACACCTAGCTCGAGATAGTCCAATGCTACCGGCAGGACTCTCCTTAGGGATCGCTTCCATCAGTCCAGCTAGCAGCTCTGGCTAATTTCCTACCAGGTTTTTTTTTTCAGCAGGCTTATTTGCCAGACAAAAATACAACAGGCTGTCAGAACTGGATACCTCTGGGGACTGGCAATGATAATACAATACAAAATAGGATACCAACAGGTCAAAGGTTTCCATTTCAGAGAGTACTCTAATGACTGAAAGTCATTATTGCTATGCAGTCTGTTTGAAAAGAGTAGATGGATCTCAGTTCAGTTTTTAATGGGCCAGTGTTACAGAAACAACCTCAAAAATTTGGCATCTTTGTTGGCAGTCTCATTAGAGAAGCCACAGAATAAATGGACGAGGATAATAAAGTCTCCTGCTGCTTTTGATCCTTTCAGGTCAAATCTGAGTCATGTTGGTTGAAGCCGTGTGTGCATGTGGCAAGCTTACCCTCACACATTGTATACTGTGTCTGCTCTGTGGATAAACAGATCCCTTAGGCCCTTTGGTCACTACAACTGTGAACTTGGCAGTTTTCACCATCCCAAAATTCACAGTTGCTGCTGCTGCTGTTGTTTTGCAGATATCTTTTAGAAGCAAAAAGGGAAACGTTGCAGACCAGCCCCTCTGCTGGCGTTTTTCCATCCAAGTTGGTGGAATTACGCCAACACCCACATTGTCTCTCTATGTATTTTCTGTCTCTGCTTTCTTCTGTCTCCATCCTTTCAAATGGAGATAGATGAAAATAAGCAGAAATCCCCTTACATTAGGAAATGTCTTGGGGGAATTGCCCAATATAAAAGTTGACTATCGTTGCTTGGCTTTTTTTAAATCACCTTGCTATTGCCTAGGAGTGCTTTCACTTCCCAGTGACCTGGTCCAGCAGATACCGGACACTGATGTTATCAGGTCCTAGTTCTTACATTGCTACCTGTAACCAGCGCTTCGTGATTTCTCTTCCTCCTGGCAGATGAACCCAGCAGGTGCTATTTCCACGATGGTGATGGAGTATGTGAGGAATTTGAGCAAATGACCAGCATCAAAGACTGTGGTGTTTACACTCCCAAAGGCTTCCTGGATCAGTGGGCTTCCAACGTCTCCGTCTCACATCACAGTGACCAGCAGTGTCCAGGATGGGTGGTCATCGGTCAGCCAGCAGCAACCCAGGTAAGAAAGCATGTGTTCTTTCCTGTCCTGGAGAGCAAAGTCCAGCAAGAAGTAACAGTCATGAATGTAGCTCAATGGTCAACACTGGTGTGTGATGTTTCCTCTGCCCGTTAACTTGCTGCTTCACCAAGGAAGGCCCCTGACAGCAGTTTCCCTCTTTCTGAGCCTGATAAGTAGTGAAGAGTTGAAATTCAGTTCCAATCATGCATTCAATATGCTGTGTAGGAGCCACCTCGAGCAACTATCACCACCAAAAAGCCTAGACAGGCTCTCTGCAGCTAGCACAGGCTACTGTCTTGTGGCGATGAGATCTGAAGGCTAATGCTGAATAACACAAAGGAGCGTTCTTTCTTTTTAATAGTTTTGTGTTTTCTGTCTCTCAGTTTCATAAAAGCACCCTATTGTTCTATTCTGAGAAAGGTCCCGTCCATTCCCAAAGCCATTCATTAGTTTTAACCCCCTTCTTACATGTCTCCTTTGTAACATAAATAGCTCCAGTTACCATAACTTTACCTTTTGTCTCCCTGAAAGAATTAGATCCAAATGAGTTCAAAAAGACATTAGACAAATGCCTGGAAAACAGAGCTGTACATGATGCAGATGCAACAGTCCAGATGCAACCTGACTCAGGAAAGCCCATGTTGCTTATTGATGTTTTTTAGAGGATGCAAGATATAGTAGAGGATACAGATATAGATATAGATAGATATAGGAGCTGCTTTGTATGTTCCTCCTTGAGCATCCACTGTTGTCCCTTGCTTGAGATAGAGCAGTGAATTACGTGGACTTTTGGGTTGATGCAGTAAAGTTGTTCTGACAGTCTAATTACCGGGGAGGTGTCTTGTGGGCAGTGCAGAGAGGGATGTCACAGATAGGACAAGCAGATTTCTCCATGAATAGTAAACACAAAGTATTTCCAGTTGGCTTGCAAAAGAAAACATCTTTATGCAAGAGACTTGGCCTTGTCCACATTGCACAAGTCTGTAACAAATTAATGACCAGGTCAGTTTTAAACGCACAAAGCTTGGATAGTACCAAGACACAATCCAGAGCCCAGTATTGCCTCTTTGTCATGGTCTCATTTATTATCTCACCCTGTAAAAGGAACTTTTACCTGGACCACTACCAGTGCCTTCACAACTTCTTTCTCATTTGAGCTCCCTGTAGGACAGCCCAAAGCCCACTGCCTCCAGTTCAGGTGCTGCTTTATGTGCATGTCCCCAAGCACTCGGTGCCCATGCAGCTGCTATGGAATGCTGCCCTGTTTTTTCTCCTAAGGCACTAGTAGAGATGCAGCCACCCCGTGCAGTAGGTAACATATGGTCCTGCGGTGGGATAACCACCACCACGTGCACACGCAAAGCCCTGCTGTGTAGCCACAGCTCAGGCTTGTATGTTGTACCCGATGAGATGAAGTTGTCACAGCCTTGTTAAAACAAAAAAAAAGGGGGCTGGAAAAAGTGCTGTTGTATTTATAGGCAGAGCACTGGCATATCACACACTGCCAGAGTGAATGGGAACATGCCTCCTGTTATTGCCTGGCCCCTGGGGAGATAACAGTGTGCTATTTACTTCCAGCAAAAGGAATTTTTGCTTTAGCTCAGCTGGTCCTGTTACCAGTTTGAGTGCATGGGGTTCACTGACCTTTATAATCATATATGTTGAGAAAGCTTTGTTTTCCCCAGGAACAAGGAGGGCTCGTTGGCTTGTGAAAGCACCTGACTTGTCACTGCAGAGAGGTTAGGTGGGGCAGCAGGTCATCAGTGTTAGCCAGCGGAGATGAAAATTAACCTAAGATCTCCTCTAATCACTGCATGTAATGATCACTGGTGTGTAAACATGTTTGGCTTCATTATCTGTACAAGCATTGAGCCTTCGGGGGTGGGGGGGTGGTGTATTGATGAAAGGAGCACCTTTCCTCACCCAGATATCTTTTGGAGTAGGTTGTGTGCTTGCTGGTCTTGTGCAAACTTTTCGTGTTGTTGCTGGGTAGTTTCCTGATTAATCAGAGTGGTATTTCTGTTGGCTTCTCATCAAGAATGCCATGAAAGATATGTTTGAGTGCAGTGCACAGCAATATACAGAATACATAAGCTGCCTGATTGTTAGCCATCCCATTTCTCATAATTGCCCTGGTGCACTTAAGGTGCTTTAAAGCATTTTAAGCATGTCCTTCATGATTTAAAATGTTTCTCATCCTTAGATAACTCAAGACCCGTTTCTCTGCTTGACTCCCATGGTTTTTGCCTGGGCTGTTTCTGAGGAGTTGGGTTTTTACTGGGGTATTTCTCAGCAATATCTGCCTGCATGCACTTGTTCACTGCTGGAGGATTGTTTATGAGCACAAGCAGGAGAACACTCCCTTATTATTGTAGGGTTGCCTCTGAGCACCCCACACCCCTTTGCTCAGTTCACTTCAGACAGTGCGTGTTTCTGAGTCGGTTGTTCCTTACAAGTAGGGTTGCCCTCACTTGCTCGTTATTTTGAGCTGGATCTGACATGCTGGCTGCTTCCTTGTGAGTACGAGGCTGCTGAATGGCAACATATGAAGGGAGGGGCAGAAAGAAGTTCACAGTATAAGATTTGTTTTGAACAACAAAATGCTTACAAAGAATGACACAGTCTTGGCGAAGAGATACACATTTGAGAAATGGAAAGGTCAAACAGCCCCCCCTTGAAACAATTGCTCTTTCTGCAGAAGCAAGACTGAGAGACAACCACTTCTACTTTCCTGGCAGCCACTCTTCAGTGCTGATTAAGAAATACTCTCAGTACTGACAGCATCCTATTTAGAGCCAAAGGGGACCAGTCAGCAACATTGCACCAGCACAGAAATGCGATGTAGGGTGTTTGTACAGTTGGGTTTCTAATCCAGCGTCCTCCTTCACGCAGACACTGCTCAGTACCTGTTGTCAACTGCAGGAGGAATTCAGCAGCAAGGGCTTTGCACACTCTTGGGCTGCTCTTTTCCCTACTGCTCTTGCTGTGAGTCTGTAAACAGCCTCTCCTTGCCATCCACTGTGTGTGAAATATTATCGGTGTTGATGGACTGCTTGTGTGGAGTTTTCTACAGCACTGTTTATTTCTCGGGGCCTTTCTTGTGCTAAAGATTATTGATGCTAGCATTAAGTCATCAGCTGGTGTGTGTTGGCAAAGACTACAGAAAGGCAGTAGCACTAGGCAGATTTATACTGGCTGAAGGACAGATCCAGTAGGCATAAACACAAAGGGTACTTCGTCTGATCTGGTTGGTGAATAGCTGCAGTCTTTCTGTGTTGGAAGTCCCCAGTGACTTATTTCCCTGACTGGTTTGTACCCAGCTCAAGTCAGCCTCCTCTTTACCAGCAGGAGGGGGTAGCACATGGCCTCCTGACACCACGTTAAGCAAACCTGGGCTTGACAAGACATGAGTTTAAAAAGCCAAACTATGGCCTACCCAGACAATTTCCATTGTAGCATCACTGGTAAAGATGCATCAACAAGGTGTGTGAAGTAGGAATGTGCAGTGTGGATCAGGTCACTGTAAAAGCTTTGCTGTCCTTCAGGGCTCAAGAAACCCTTGAGGGTTTCCCTTGGGGGGAAACAAGGTCTTGCAATGGCCTTCATAGATTCAGCCTCCTTGCCCTCATTGCCAATTTTGTTCTGGCACAGCTTACACTGGGTAAGTGCATTAGCTGTGTTAGTCTCCCTTTCTAGAGTAGGTTGTACTGAGCAGGAAGGATTTGGATCTAAAGTGTCTTTTTTATACAGACATGTCTTTGGAGGAAGCCTATGACAGGTCTGTCTCAAGGGGTGGCTCCATGGTTTGAGTGGTGGCACTCCTGCTTTTGGAGAACTGATTCATCTGCAGTTTCCCTTTGGGCCATTGTAAAGAGAATTATAAGAGGGGCTAATGGATGTTTAGGTGGCTTACTGCTGATCTCGCTCCTCCTGTCACAGCAATGTGTGCTCAAGACTTGGAAGCTGGGGGGGTGTGTTGGTGATTTAGAGGGCCAGTCTCCCAGTAACTGTCTTTCATTGCATTTCCTCCCAGTTGTGCAGAAGTTGTTTAGACCAAGTAACCCTATATGTATATATATAAATTTATTTTCTTTCTCCCTGTGCCATTGTTTGGGCTTGGGTTTCCCATGTATGGAAAAACCACACAGCCCAGCACAGCTAACCAAAAGGAGACTCTTTCCCAAGGCTGCTGGGCACACACAGATCCTGTTCGTTCCCAGACTGATGAACACACCCTGTTCTCATCTGGGTACCCCACAGGGGTTGCTGTGGAGTAACAAGTTGTGGAAGAGGATTCTTATTACATCTTTCCCACAAACAGCGGCCCCCTCCTGCCCCTATTGCAGTTCCCACAATTGCGCTCATCAAGACTCATGCCACGAACCTATTCTTCCACCAGCAGCAGAAAGATGTCTAGAACTGCAGTATGTCTGTAATTGCCCACAAAAGGAGAAGACAGGAGCACAGAAATGCTCGGAGTACTAGAAGAAACAACATGGTAGAGCAAGGGCTCCAAGAGTGGTAAGAAAATACTGTAAGAAAATGGGAGAGAAAGACGATCTCTGCCACACAGTTTTATTCTGTCTAATAAATATAACACTGAAGATAATTCCCCAAAGATCCAGCAAAGCCAACTAATAGAATAATGTTGAACAGGAATGGGAAGAGAGGAAACCTGCAACTTTTAATGGAGAAGCCATTCCTTTCCTTTGGGGTGATCTTGCTGAGAAGAGGGAGGGTGTCTGCTTGTCGGCTCTGCAAGCATCCCTTTTTGAACTTCCCAATTCACAGCCAAGTCCTGTTGCTCTTCAACGGTAAGAGGTTTGTTGTGGTTGGAGGGATAGAAGAATCCCCATTTTTAATAAGATGATTTGCTTTGCAAATGTCTTTGTTATTTATAGCTGAGCCAGGCTTCGAACCACTAATCTCTGGAGGATGAGGGCAGAATCCCACTAAGAAAAACCAGTAATGGAGGAACCATGAATGATCAGGGGTTAGTT